ATGCAAAAATGTTGCCTCATATCTGATCGTAGAAAATTGGAAATTCTTGTGACGATTGATTTTTGCCCATATAATTATGATGCATCATTTGTCAAGGAAGAATTTAGAAAAAAGAGAAATGTTATGCTAAAACATTGATGTTTCCATGTTCCAGGAATTACAGTGCCTGTCTGTCCATATGCAGTTTACTGCCTCAAGCTTTTTGGTCCCCATTTACATGACAGTATAAAGAGAGTTTCAGGGGAGCCTGGGTGGCTCAGTCAGTTAGGCATCTAACTTTGGATCAGGTCATGATCTCATGGTCCACAAGTTCAAACCTGACGTCAGGCTGTGTGCTGACAGCTTGGAGCCTAGAGCCTGCTTCAGATTCTGTCTTCCTCTCTCTCTGATCCTCCCCTACTCATGTTCTCTCTCTCTCTTTCTTTCTCTCTCTCTCTCTGTCTCTCTCTCTCTCTCTCAGAAATAAACGTTAAAAATTAAAAAAAAAGTTTAAAAAATGATAAAATCAATTCTATCAGCCTATCTTCTCATTGGCTTTGTTACAGTCTGTGATCCTCTGCTCTTCACATTATAGTCCAAAAGGTCTTTCTGAAGAGTTCATGCCTACTCTCTACTGAGTACATTTTAAGCAATATTTCCATGAATATTACTTCTTCATTTAACTTGTTACTCATTTAAAATGATAAATGTCAAATATCTAGTTCCTAAATCATACTGATGTGTCTTAATGAAATCCTTATATTTATTCAAAATAATTAGATATCTTAATTACTCCAACAAACTGTATTTTAAAATTTCTTCTAAACCTATTTCACTCTTATAATATAGATTCTGCCCAGGATGACTAGAAATACCCCACTATGGTTGAAATACTAAGCGAAAACAGCTGCTTCTGGAAAATGACAAAAATACCCCCTTTTGTTTTAAATAAATCGCAACTGCTACCAGTGCACAACTAATGTAAACTTGAGAAATGGAAAATATTTGTGAATCTCATAAGCTCTTTTGAAAGAGAGACAGGATTAAACACCATTTTCCTATGTATGTGGTGTGGCATTTTTGTTTTGTTCCAAGTTATTTCACTTTCTGTGTGACTCTGGAGTTTGTAAACGTGCCATAAAACTTGGTAATTACATGATGATGATTTCATGGTTCTCACTTAGTGTAAAGGTGGCTAGACAGGGCAGCAAAATCGATTTTATTTTTTACCTTTGTGGAAAGAAACAAAAGGAAATTGAATGCAAAATCTGCATTAAGACTATATTAGCATTATACTCCACAATCTGTTACACATGAAATGAAAAGCAAGTGCAGCAAGTGTTAGTTATTGTGCTGTGATATTCAGCCTGGGGGCTACGTTCAAACAGCTTTTTGTCTAACCTGTGCCTTCTTTTGTTACCCATAAATGTTCTAAATGCATCTGACCTGAAACTATCTCTTGTCTCCTCTTGCCAAAGGTACTCAGAGGCAAGACTGTCCCTAGGCAAAATCATGAAGTAGGTGACTCTTGTGTTCATCTCCTAACCTCTTGCAATGACAATCTCACTTTAGATTCTCTCCACCTTCCTGTCCCCAAGTGCCTACTCTAGTTGCTTATTGTTCTGGATTTACCCTCTGTTTTCCAGGGGGCTCATGCTATTTCTTACTGTCCAATCCCTCTTTGATTGTCTAATTGCCCTGCTCAAAAAATATCCCACGCCTCCCGAGGAGGAACCAGGCAATCAAGGTTCTCCCACCTTTTCTTTTGACTCTGAATTCCCACTACACAACCTCCACCATGATGTTCTACTGCAAATGAATCACCCACCTTACCCTTTTTATCTCTGCATCTCTTCCATGCTATTCTTTTTGTCTGAGTTGGCCTCCGTCTTTCATCTCCATCTATAGAAATCCTAATTATCTTTCATTCAACACTCCACTCATGCCTTCCCTGACCACCCCCAGCCTCTCTCCTCTACACCTCATCCATTCATCACACTCATATGGCTCTTACCACGTGTTGCTTTGTTTTATAATATTTATGTATGTGTCTTGTCTCCAGGCACTGTGCTGGGCGCTTTACAAACGTAATCTCATTTAAATTTCACAACAATCTGATGAGGTAGGTATTACTGAATCATTTAACAGTTGAAGAAACTGAGGTTTAAACAGGTTAAATAATCTGCCCAAGGTCACACTGCTAGAAAGTACCAGAACTAAGACTTGGACTGAGGTCCAAAACATATATTCCTTCCCCAAAAGCATATTGCCATCTGTTCGGTTCTTTTCCATCTTCTGAAAGATGGATGGAGTTTTAAGATGTAGACAGAGCCAACTCAGGCTTTCTGATTACCAAATGCATTTTCAACAAAAAAAGTAGAGTTTATTCATAATTATTGTGTTCCTAGTTAGAGCTGACTTATTAACTATAACCCATAAGAAATTCAAGTAATATGTGAGAGAAAAAAATCCTTACCTAAATTTGTCAGGACAAATAAACATGGCACAAGACGAGAAAGTTCAAGATAATTTGTAATTCAAGAAATACTAAATGGCATTGGACTCTGAGCACTATTGGAAAATAAGTACAAGGAAAAGAGGAAAACATGAGGTTGACTATAAATGACTTCCTCTAAATCCCCTAGGACTTAAACAGTCTCAGGTGGTTAGGAGGCTGAAGGTTTCACCCTAAATCTCTCATAAACTAACACTATCTCTATTGAGTATAAAAGCCCATTCTTTGCATTCTGCCTCTGGGGTAGCATCTTGAATAAGTGAGGGAAAAGTTTAGTGTTTCTGAGAAAGAACTCCATGCCCAATGGACAACTTATACAACTGCCCTCTCCTGTACCCAGAACCATAGACTACAGCTGCCCCCGGACAGGCTCATTCCAGGGACTCTTCAGCCTGGAGCCAGCCTCCTGTCAGTCACATGGCATAGGGCCCATCTTGGGAAGAATTTGGACTTACGATCTCTTTGTATTTTGACCCCACTGCCTTTGCTTCTCCTGAGGGGAGAAAAGCCTATCTTCATTTCTGCTTGGTTACTCTTCTCATTTTCCAGTCATCTACCTTGTCATCACATCAGTTGCATATTTCTTTAACATGGTGAGATGCAGTTATCGTTAAGCACGTGTTCTCAGTGCACCTCTGTTGACTTCTGAAAGTCATCTCAACTTTGCTTGCAAACTCTGTTTTGATTTCTGTGTGCTCCCAGTATGTCAGTCCCATTCATATACAGCTCTAAACTTCCGTTCTTTATACCAATCTTAATAACAATTTTAAAATTGGGAAAAATAATGCATGTAATCTAAGCTTCACTACAACAGGGCATACTGAACTTCAGACCCTATCTTGGAAAACCTGAGAATTTCCATTTCAGTTATTTGCTGAATCTGAGGAATTCAATGAGCCCAGTAGGAAAACTACCTTCACCCACACTGGAAAAAAATTCAAGCACAAAACTCCTCTCTCTTCTGTAAAGATTTTATGATTTTTCTTGTCTTCTACTAAAGTCCTCAAAGCTAATTCATTTTTTTCTTTTTATTTTGGAATAATTATAGATTCATGGGAAGTTGCAAAAGAAATGTACAAGGAGGCCCTGTGTACCCTTCACTCCATTTCTCCCAATGGTTGTAACTTATATAATTATAGTGTGCTATCAAAGCCAGGAAATTGACATTGGTCTAATATACTTTCAGATTAAAACAAAACAAAACAAAAAACTACCCTGATCACAACATAGTCAGTTTCCCTTCCACTTTCTGTTTATACTCACAAACAGTAACCAGATGGACAGTGTTGGAAAACTAAAGGTGGTATGACTAAAGGTGGCTCAGTTGGTTAAACATCCAACTTCAGCTCAGGTCAGATCTCATGGCTCTGGGTTTGAGCCCTGCTCCAGGCTCAGTACTGACAGCTCAGAGCCTGAAGCCTACTTCGGATTCTGTGTCTCCCTCTCTCTCTCTCTACCCCTCCCCTACTCGCACTCTGTCTCTGTCTCTCAAAAATAAACAAAACATTAAAAAAGTAAGTTAAAAAAAAGTAATATACCAGACATGCACAGAAAAAGTTCTCCTACATTGCTAGGGATGATCATCAAGTCTGATGCAGGAGTAGGTCAGTGTCCTAGGTAGTGGAAGGGAGCCTGCATCAGAAGACGTGGGCTGGAATCTGATTCTGCATCTAAATGTGTGACCTTGAGCAAATCTTTTGACCTCTGCAAGCTTCAGTGTCTTCATCTATCAAATGGAGAAACTATTTCTCCTGCCTACTTCATGGGGTTGTTGTGAGGATCAGCTGTGATGATGTGTATGAAGGAAGGATGTAGGTTGTGCATTAGCAGTCATGAAGTTTATTATTCTTTTCTGAAACTACTGCCAGTTACAGAAGTTTAGTTTTTCAAAGGTGAGTTTATTCTTAGAAACAGAACAAAACCACCTCCTTATGAGCTACAAAGCCTAGAATTTCCCTTATGTGTAAATGACCTTGCCTTTCTACCATTCTTAGTAGGACAGGTACTAGCAATATATTGGACAAGCGCACTGCGACTTATTACCTACACACCCTGAGGCATACCATCTATTTTAAAATAAAAATTTCTTAACATTTCCTTCTAAAAGGTCGAATGCATTTTAAGTAGCTTTATTTTTATCCTGACCACAGGATTTATTCTTACTTTTTTTTTTTGTTCAGCCATGAGATGTACAATAGGTGCTCTTGACAATGGTGAGAAATTATAAGGATACCAGATTAGACAGAGGATGGTTTATGAAGTAGAAATGGAAATTATCCAAACTGCATTGTTCCTCGGTGTGTCTGGGTATATAATATAAACTCCTAAGTCACTGGTGGATTCTGATGTGTGGGTAGTAAAAATGCTAGTCTTGGCAGTAAGGATGGAAAAATGTATTGGAGAAAATAAACTTAAATCATGGAAAGAGTTTCTGTGGACTGAATGCTTTGGGCACCAAGATAAAAGCATTAAGATTTGTTTTCTCCCCTTTCCTCCCTGTATACAGGCTGGCATGGCTCTGACCTATGACCCCACAGCTGCCATACAGAATGGGTAAGTCGACCATGTTTTTTCTATTTGAATCGCTAAGGTATCTTTGACCTCTAAAATCAGCACTGAAGAAACATGTTCAAAACTGTCTTTCTTTTGTCTTAAATCTTTATGCAAAAACTGGGAACCAAACACTTCTCACCAGTCTATCTTTTCTTCTTCCCAGCATGACTCTGAGCTCATAGTATCTTCCATGTCGTCTATTCCCACATGATCTCTACCCACATTAAGTTTCCCTCTCTCATGCTCTCTCTCTCTCTATGATAAAGAGTAAGGAATAGGATGTGAAGAGGGAGCATAGATAGAACTAGACTGGAAGAAATATCTGTGTATCTCTGGGGTAGGAATGTTGCCATGCTGATAACTCTGGAGTTTAGCTTTCAATGATTTTAGTGTTTTCCAAGTTCATTTCAACATGAATAATGCTTTGCAATTTTCTTCTGGCCGTCAATGGAAGGTAATGGACAGAGTCAAATTAGTAACTTGGCAATTGTGTCTTTGCTCTTTATTTTAATAAGCATCTAGAAATGTTGTGGCCTCTTACTTAGCATAAGTCACATAGTCTAGGATTCCTCCTTTGAAAAATAAAACTTAAACTACATGTTCTGATCTTGCAAAAATTCTGTAATTCTGAGTATCTTTGGTTGAACTCACGTTCCAGTATCTTCTCTTTGTTTTGACTGTCCTACAATTGACAATAATTATTCTTTGGTTGGTTGGTTACTTTTATTTTCACAGCCTTCTATCTTGGATTTCTCCATGGTGTTCAGTTTTCTGTCTTCCAGTCTCAGAATGAAGACCTCATTTAAGATCAGTGTAGAGAATAAAAGAATGTAAGCTGTTTTTTATTTGGTCAGCTGCCTCTAATGAAAACCTGTGGGATGTTGGAAGGATTTAAATATCTCCTATTCTGATAGTTATTCACTTAGGCAATCATTTATTCATTCATTCAATAAATATCCAATGGGTATGCCAAGCACAGTGTGTGCTACAGAATTAAAAGACAATATCTGAGTAAGGCCTTTGCCTCAAGGAACTCATAGTCTATCTACCCTTCCAGAAAAGAGTAAACGTGGATGGTAGGCAAAGAAGGGAGTCTATTCCTTTCTCTCTTGTTGATTAAAACTCTTCTCTAATAGTGAAAAATAAGGATTTTTTCCAATAAGCATTTTCTTATTTCCAATAATGCACTATAAATTGGTGGGTAGAAAGAAGAAATAGAGAAGAACGTCCTCAAGAATCATATTGGATATTTGGGAATATAAAACAGTTAACTCAAAAGATACAGAACAAGACATTAGATGCTAAGTGATGGTGACAGAAAATAGGTGTTATAATAGAAGGGAGTAACATGTATTGAACACATACTATGTACCAAGTACTTTATATTTGTAACTTAACATGCATTGTTTCAGAGTCAAATACATGTATAAACATGTAGTTACCAGTAGATATTTATATACATAAATGGAAAATAGAAATAGTTGAATGAATTGAATGAATATGTTCACTAACCAGATTCAACAAGCGCTAATATTTGGCATACTATATATGTACGTATGTTCCCCTCTGTAATATTTAGCCATATATCTTTTATAAAGTCCTTCTTTATAAGGACTCATGTGAAGGATTAGAAAGGCAGCAGTGACTTAGGCCTGGACCAGAGTGGTCTGCATTGCTTCAGTCAGTAGTCTTAATCACACGTAATTTAAAATCTGACTGTAAAAATTAAATAAATAAAATAAATCTGACTATTTTCTCTAAAGACATAATTTTCCAAGTATTATTCCTGATTTATAATAAATCTAAAGAGAAAACTCATCTGAGCAGCCAAAAGGGAGCTGTTGGTGGTGCCATGTTAGAGGCTATGAGGGCACAATAGCACACAGTGGACATTTCTCCCTTCTTAAATGTTTACAACAATGAATACACATACTCATGAAACACATTTTAGTTAAGATGCTGAGGATACCCATCTTCTTGATTTTCTCATCTGATCTACTCTCATTGATAAAGAACCATATATCACCAATTAGTCTTTTTCTTCAATACCTTCTTGTCCACTGAATGTTCCTTTCAGCCTATAGAAACGCTCAAGTCTTTTCCACCTGTAAAAGGGGTAGAAGTAAAACCATTCTTTCATACCAATGACATCACTTCTAGTGACTACACTAATTTAGCCTTTTCTTCACTGCTAAACTCAGTTGTCTATACATATTCTTTTCCTTTTTTTAATGTTTGTTTATTTTTGAGGGGGAGTGGAGGAGGGGCAGAAAGAGAGGGACAGAGGATGTGAAGCAGGCTCCCTGGTAACAGCACAGAGCCCAGTGAAGGACTCAGACTCATGAATCATGAGATTCTGACCTGAGCTGAAGTTGGAGGCTTAACCACCTGAGCCACCCAGGTGCCCCTTCCCATATTCTTTTCAAATGAAGCTTATTAATTATGCAGTCTCGTTTCAAACTTGACTGGAATTTCCCTTGGTGATGTTCCCGGTGATGTCCAAATGTGTCTGTTGAAACTGACACCCCTTTAGTTCTTGTATCATTTGAAATCTTACTTCATTCGACTTGTTGTTGTTGGTACCATTTATACCATTCTGGAAATTTCTTGTCTCTTGGGTCCCATAACTCTATTCCCTGCTGATCCTCCTTGCTCTGTACTCTCTCCCTACTCGGTTGGTCTCTTCTGATTCCTTCTCTATTGTCCACTTTTACTAATCTTTCTCAGGATTTTGTCTTTTTCTTAGTTTGATCTCATCCATTTCTCTTGCTTTTGGGACCTGAAGACTTCCAAGCTGACACTTCAAGTTCCTAAGTAGATGCAGGGCACTATCTCTTGTGTTTCTAACTGACTATTAGGTAATATTACTCTTAGATACTTTGTCTGTCCCAACTGAGATGACTAACTTCATCAGTGCTTCCTAATAGAAGCCAAACAAATTCAAATGAAAACCAAATATGAAATTTACTTGTTCTTTTTTTTATAATTCACTTTAAGAATTATTAAATTTATTTATTTTGAGAGAGAGTAAGTGCAAGTGAGGAAGGGCAGAGAGAGAGAGAGAGAGAGAGAGAGAGAGAAGCAAAAGCAGGCTCCATAGCACTGTCAATGTGGAGCCCTATGTGGGATGAGAACATGACCTAATAGCTGAAATCAAGAGTCCACAGCTTAACTGGCTGAACCACTCACTAGTGATTCACTTTAAAGCCATTAAGCATTCATTTAAAGTGAATATAGGCAGTGGTTAAGAAAACTCCAATTTTCTGAGTTCTCTCTTTTATAGTATTTTTAATGATAAAATGGGTCATTAAGACTTATTCAGCTTATCTTTGAACTAGATCTTCACCCCATCCTTGCTACTGGTTGGGTTTATTCAATCATCTTCCCTACCTGTACTAACCTTTTACCTGTCTTTAATACAGCTCTCCTGTAAAACATTTTCACGTTGTGTTTTGAATATTGTTTTAAAATATAAAAATGTAGGAACACCTGAGTCACTTAGTTGGTTAGCTTCCAAGTCTTGATCTCACAGTTTTGTGAGTTTAAGCCCTGTGTTGGGCTCTGCACTGACAATGTGGAGCCTGCTTGCGATTCTCTCTCTTCCTCTCTCTCTGCCCTCCCCTGCTTGGTATCTTTCTCTCCCCCTCAAAATAAATAAATAAACTTTAAAAAATAAGTAAATAAAAATAAAACACCAAAAAATTTAATCACAGTAATCATCTCCCTGCCTGGTTTAAAGCATTAGGCAGACTTTATTAACTATAGAACAAAACTCAGACTTCTAAGAGTGGCACCTTAAAAATCCACAAAAAACAAAAACAAAAACAAAAAAACCCACATGATTTGGTTCCTGCAAATTATATGAACCTTCTGTGAACTCTCTCAGAACATCCCATGCTACTTTGCACCTCTGTGTCTTGTTGCTGATGGAATAATCTGTTCCCTGAGAGAATGGTGATTTCCTCCCTTCCTCCCTGTCTCCTTCCCTCCCTCCCTCCTTTCCCTTTCTCCCTCCCTCCCTCTCTCCCTCCCTTCCTTTCCTTCTTTCTGTCTTTTTTTTTTTTTTTTAAATACTGCTCTCCTTTAAAGGACACAATCAAATGATTCCAGGCAGAGATAACTTACACAATTAGCCATAAGAGAAACAGTATAGGCAGTGGTTAAGAGTGTACACTCCAGAATCAGCCTATTTGCACATCCAAATTCTGTCATTCACCAGACATGGGCAAGTTGTTTGTGCTTTGGTTTGCTTTTCTGTGAAATGGAGATGACAGTAAGTCTTTGTAAGGATTAAAGGAAATGTATGGTACACTGTAATCGTCAGTGTAAATATTGATGTTATTGTTGTACTATATTTCATGTTACCATGATATGTTTGACAGTCTCTCTTACCATGTAGCCATTGACACAGTATTTATATCCCTGCTGGACTGTTAACTCAGTGAAGACAAGTTCTATGCTTTGTTCATCTTTATAGACTGTTTAACCCAGGTTTGTGCTAAGTCAGAAATAGGGAGTGTAACCAATGACATCTACTTGGCTCCAGCAACTTGGTATGAAAAACATTCCCCTTTTCAGCATCAACTTACTCTGTCCGCATGTAACACTTCAATCTGATTCTCTTTAAGTATAAGCCTCTCATTTCACCCAAAGTATCCCAAATGCCCATGAATTTGTCACATCTTGAGTTAAGAATGGAGTTTTAGAAGGCTGGGACTGTCCATTGTGTTGTTGGTAACAAGAAGACAGAAATTTTATATAATGAAATGGAAAGAATAGGAAAACTGTAGTAAATTAATCTTACTCATTTGTTACTTCTTTATATAGATGATTTTTAAGGTTTTGTTCATCTTTGGTTTTATTGCTTTATATGATAACATTTTGATAATAGGGAATACTAGAACAATAATTTCTAAGCACGTAAGATGTCAAGATAACCACGAGTATGTTCTCAGCCTAGCTTCCCTTGAGTTAGCATTAACGTGCACCTCGGAGGTGTG